TCCACAGATGAACGGGATACCCCCTCACATGTCCACTGCCGCACTGCTCTCCACGGATGAACGGGATACCCCCCCACATGTCCACTTCCGCACTGCTCTCCATGGATGAACGGGATACCCCTCCTCACCTGTCCACTTCCGCACTGCTCTCCACGGATGAACGGGATACCCCCCCCCCACATGTCCACTGCCGCACTGCTCTCCAAGGGTGAACGGAGAAAGGCACCTGTGGCACATGCACCCGAAGGAAGACTACTCAGACATAAAGACAAACAAAGTCATGTCATTTGCAGCAACACAGATAGATCTGGAAGTCATCACCTCAAGTGAAACAAACCAAGCACAAAAAAGACAAATATTCAATATTACAAGTTCTTATATGTGAGAACTAAACAATTTGGACACACAGAAGTAGAGAGTGGAAAAAAAGACAACAGAGTTTGGGAAGAGAAAATGGGAGTGAGGAAGACTGTGAAAAGAAGTGTTCTAATGGGTACAAACATAGCAAGACAGGTGGAATGAATTCAAGTAAGATGTTCATACTTAACAGAAATGCACTGCATTTGGGTGGTGGACATGCTGAACACCCTGACGTCATCACTACACATTATACACATGCACGAAATTTCTCATTCATCCCATAATTTTGTACCACTAAAAATTTTTTTTTAAAAAGGACAATAACACCAGTATTTAAAGAGCATTGAGAAAGATGGAATTGTGTGTACTTATATTGTTAGAGGAATTTATCTGTGAACCTAGATAGTCATCTTGGAAGCCTACCGTGGTTTGTGATAGAAAACTGGTAGCCTTTATGGAAAAAAAAAATTAACGATGTACTAGCATCTATCTGGCTTCTTTGGGAGCCTGCATATTAATAATGATCAGACAATCTCTAATATGATCTAATTGAAGTTATTTTCTGGGACAAGACCTGTAATAGTTCATCACTCGACTGGCACTTACTGAGACATGAGGGAATGCTTGGTGGGAATTAGTAGCTGCACTTAGACAGCAGAATAAGTTCATGCTTTTATGCTAAGTATAATGCCACTAGGCAGAATGCACAAGTTTTGGTTATTCTGTTGCTATTACTTTTGTAAAGGAAAAGATAAGATAGATCTTTTTATTTCCTGCAAGTAAAGACCTCAATGATATTGCCTGTGAATTTGTGGCTCTGAACTGTGTTAATATGCTATTTTAAATTTAATTCATAGATCATAGAACTTGCTTTCAAACCTATTTGATTTTATTCTTCAGCACATTCAATAAAAATCTAAGTTTTAAATTGAAATAGAGTCACTAACGTTCTGTGGATGCCTGTAGATGTCATGCTATGAGAAGCCACACTGAAATAGGGTTCTCTTTTCTCCTTAGATCAGTGATTTTCAAGTGTGCTGCAAAAATTTTTAAAGATCATTATTTAAATTATTTTCTAAAGAAGTTCAAAGCTCAATAGGTATATTCTTTTCTTTATTCTTTTCTTTAATCAACATAATTTAAGTGTGTGGAGGAAATTTATCTGTAGATTTGAGTGTGCCCTGAGATAAGAAAGGCTGAAGAACACTGCCTTAGGTTGACAGGCTACTACTTAAAAAAGAGAGGCGGATTTTGTTTGTTTATTCCCAAGGGGTTACGGTACATGTACTAAAGCTACATTTTAAAGTTAATCTCAGAAAAAGACCAATTTCAGAGGCAAGAAGAACTACAGGTCATCTCTTTCAGTAGTTCAAAAGAAAAAAGATAAAGGTAGTGTTACTTTCACATCTGGAATACAAAAAAAAAAAGAAGCATTTTAAAGCACATATGCACATAAGAAAGTGATCTATTTAACTTTTTCCTGTTACAAAACAGAGTTTTGTAAGAGGAAACAAAGTTTTGTACAGCTTTGTAAAGAAATCTTTGCTAACATTTAAAGCCCTTAGAGATTTCTCTGCTATGATCTGGATGTCTGTGTACCTATAAATTTGTAACTTGAAATCCTAAAACAGTACATTCAAAAGCACGATACAGTATACATCTCTACATTAGACCTAGTAACTATATAATGAATAAAATAGGGTTTTGATAAGTATGAAAATTGCGTATATTAAAGAAGACCAGAGTATTAGTATGCATTAAGCTCCTCAGAAGGGCACATTTCACCAAATTACAATACTATGTCAGAGTTTTGCACAGTTGTCAAACTTAGGCATTCACGCATTTTCCATTTCTGTTTTCACTTTTGGTTAAAGCAGAGACACAGACCTTTTGTGCATATAAAGAACTCACATGGAAGCTACACTGAATACCAGTGGTTTTTATTATCTATTTCATTTTGTGCTACAGAGGCCAAAACCTTGACAGAAACACATTCTTTTGACTTATCAATGTGTAAAGAGTAGGCTTCATCTCTATAAAAAAACAGAAAAACTTAGCTGGGCATAGTGGTGTGTACCTGTAGTCCCAGCTGCTAGGGAAGCTGAGCCCAGAAGGATCACTAGAGCTCAAGACTCTGTCTTGAGGGAAAACAAAAATAAAAACAACCCCACAAAACATCAAGCTCTCAAGAACTCTTTGTTGAATGACTCCTTCTGAAATTATGCACATAAAGGGAAGATTTTTACTTCATCTGCACACTGCTTCACGTTTAATCAATCTGATGATTTTATAGGTTAATTTTGGCTGCAAGTAACAGCTAAATCACACTAAAGTGACTTGAAAAATTAGGAAAGCGTGTCACTTCCTAATGTGTCATCTCCATGTCACATTGGAAATCCAGAGACAGATACTCCCAGGTTTGGTTAAGTCAAGACTTTGCCACGTGGTCATGGGTCTGCCCTCTGTTCTGCCGCACTGGGTACACTGCGGCTTCCTCAGAATGTGACAGTGGCTCCGGTATCTCCCTTTCACAGAGTTAGATTTTAGGCTAAAGAAAAGGGTTTTCTTACATGAATCTCATGTAGGGGAGGCCGCGGGGGATGGGGTGGGTGGCGGTGGAAGAAAATCTTTCCTTCCATGTCTGGCACATGACACCACTTAAGACACTTAAGAAATGTTGGTCCTACTGAATGGAGCTTTGTAAAGAAATCTTTGCTAACATTTAAAGCCCTTAGAGATTTCTCTGCTACGGTCTGGATGTCTGTGTACCTATAAATTTGTAACTTGAAATCCTAACCCATAGGAGGAACTGTGCTGTTCCTAAAGGCTCTGGCTTCATGACATAATCACTTGGAGAATTCTTCGCGTGAAATTCTTAGGGTGAAATCCTAACCCTGATCCGCCTGAGGTCAGCTTCCCTAGCAGCTGGGACTATAGGTGCATAACACTAAGCCTGGCTTTTTCTGTTTTTTTATAGAGATGAGGCCTACTCTTTAAACATTGATAAATCAAGGTATTAGGAGGCGAAGAATTCTCTGAGTGATTATGTCATGAAGCCAGAGCCTTTAGGAACAGCACAGTGTCCTTTTACGAGATCCCAGAGAGATGCCTCACTCATTCTACCACGCGGGGACACAGTGAGAAGACACTGTCCATAAATCAGGAAACCTCCACCACATATTGAATCTCTCACACCTTGATCTTGGACTTCTAGCCTCCAGACTATGAGAAAAACATTTCTGTTACTTAAGCCCCCAGTCCATGGTATTTTTGTTATGGCAAAGCATTAATTATTTCATGCAAAGTACAACAGTAGCTGGTATAGAGGCAGCAGAGCTGGAAGGGCAAACATATACAGTGAACGCCTGTTTCAAAGAACCGTGAGGCCCTTGCTGAAGTATATGTGATGTTTCTGAGGCTGCAGCTGTGGTCTGGGGAACAGGCATCATATACAGTTATTAGTATCTGTCCTGAGCCTGAAAAGGTGATGAACAGCTGCACATGTTATATTTGCTGTCTCTGTTTTAAAAGAGTTAATGTAAAATAACTTTGCTTTTTTTTTTTTTTATTGTTGGGGATTCGTCGAGGGTACAAAGAACCAGGTTACATTGAAGGCATTTGTTAGATAAGCACCCTTGTATAATTGTGTCTCACCCCCAAAAGGTGTACCATTATTCTTGGTAAAGCATCACAAGAATGGAGAGAACTTTCCTTTAAAAAGTGTTTGGAGTGTTCTCTACCGCTTTCTAGCTGTATGTCTTGGGGAGAAAAATCACCTAATCTAGGCGTCAGTTTCTGTATCTATAAAATAGTGGTAATATTAACATCTTTACAGAGCTGCTATAAGAACCAAACCAAACCAAACAAAAAAACAAATGTAAAGCCACCTAGAAATATCATTAGGCTAAACATGTATTCAGAAAAATAATACAAAAGAATAAACAGCAAACAAATTTCTAAGCAGCAAACATTTTAGGAGCTGGGAAGATGAAAATTTAGTTTCTGAGGCTGATTTATTGCTATAGTGAGAAGTAACATGTGTAATTAAATGTAGACATGGAGATAGACACTTAACACTATTTAAAATTTGGCTTTCCTGGACACTACTTCTCAAACATATTAGCCCCTGAAGCTATTTTTTCCTACTAAGTTTGAAGTGATTGTGACTCACACATGATACATGGAAAACATAAACTACATACAGTAAGGCCTCATCTTATCCATTTAATCTCTCCTAAAAATATCACAAATGACTGATTGATAGTTTCTAAATGAACATAAAAAATAGGAAAAAAGTTCCCATATGACATAATATGTATGACAAAGAGAGTAAGTATTAATAATAGCAATAATTATTGTGTCACAGCTGTATTTTGAATAGGTACCTTGTATACATTAAGAAACACAATAAATATTTTCAGAGTATGTTGAAAAAGACAATGGAAAACATATTTGTCTATTTAGACCTAGGGAAATGACTATATTTTAAGAGTACTGGGCTTAGAAAATGGTCATATTTTATTCTTAATTTTTCTCATGCATTTACATAATTGCTGAATTTCATATCCAACTTAATATCATGCTGTTCCTTGCGTGAACTGATGCTACTAATGGGTT